CAGCGGCGCTGCTGCCGTTCTTTTCCTCCGCACGACGGCCAACCGCACGCGGAAAGATGCGGTCAAACCACGCCTGTTCTACCGTCAGCGCGTAGGCGTTGCTTTGCAGTCCGCGGATGCCGTCGGCCCGCAGCCGGCGACTCGCGCGGCTCCCGGTGCGGTTCCACCGCACAGTGAAAGTCAGGGCCTCCGGCACCGCCACAACTGGCTGCCCAACCTGCAAAAACAATAGCAGCAACCGTGCTGCCTCCGGTGTGAGCAGCGCAGCGGCACGCCGCGTCAGTTCCTCGGCGGCACTATCTTTGCTGACATCGTCTCTGTTGGGTGTCGTCGCATCGACGTCGGCTTCACCTCCTGGGCCCCGCTCATCTTCGTTGGTGGCCTCTTTGGCGTTATTGTCGCCGCTGGTCTGGGCAGGGGGCGCGCTCATACCCGCCACATCGCCCTCAGCTGTTGTTGCGGCGGTGGCAGTTGTGTTATTGGAGGCAGGCACACCCAAGACGGATCGGTCACCGCTCTTGCTGTGGCCACTGCTCTGGTGGCGGTGGTCGAACCTTCCACCCCGTCGCGGGGCGTCGCGCAGTTTCACCCCGTCCGGGAGCCGCCCGCCGTGGTACACCTCCAGCACGCGGCGTGTGAAGGCGAACTCGATATTCTCACGCGTGAAGTACACATCAGGGCCGCCCACCGCGGGGGTGACGAAACCAAACCCCTTGCTGTGGCGGAACAATGCGCTGCGGCCTTCGTAGCGTGTCCCTTCTTCCGGTCGCATGATGGCAATCTGCTCCTCCGCCGACATGCCACGCCGGGCCTGCATGGGCACAGCGTCCCGCTGCTGCTCCAGTCGTTGCTGCGATGGCCGATCACGTTCTGTGGCTCCACGGGCACCGCTTGCTGCTGTCGCTGTTGCCGGGCCTTCTGTGGCCGTGGTGTCACCTGCATTCCCCCTGCTCGCGGTCTGCTCCTCTTGTTCTGCCTCATCAGCCTCTGCAAACAGCGAGGCGTATTTCGTCGCCTGCTGCACCGCCTCATCATCAGCGTCCAGCTCAACGTCCAACGCGTGCCGTGATGGCGCCTCTGTCACCGGTGCCTCTTTCACATCAGCGGCGCGACGCATCATTTCACTAAAGTTTACAATAGACGGACCCGCCGGAGCGGTGGACGGCGGCATTGCACCGTCCTCGCCCGTCACCTTTTCCGCCTCTTCGGTTGCGTCCTCGGCGGCGGCACCGTGCGTGCTCGCCAGCAGGGCGTACTTCTCCCGCAGCGATGCCGGACCGGTGTAGAGGACGGCATCGGCGGGAATCGTCGCGAAGACGTCATCGAAGAGGTTCCGCGACGTGAGCCGCGGCGCGTTCTGCATCCTTTTTTTTTGGGGGGGTGGGGGGTTTGTGGTTTCTTTCTTCAAGAAGAGCCGTCCTTTCTATTTGTTCCTTTTTGCCTGATGCACCGTTGCTGTTTGGTTTGCTTTGTTCAGTCAGAGAGCAGGTGCAGCCTGTGCGTGCCCACAGGGTGTGAGAGAGAGGTGGAGAGAGCAGGACGCAATGAAGCAGCGAGCAGACAGCAGGAGTCTGAGGGCAGCGCAACGTGAGGCCATTCGCCGCCCCCTTTCGGTCCCTTCTCTCCATCCCTCCACTCACTCCACTACTCCCTCGGAGGCGTGTCATCTCTTCACCAGTCGCGCAAGCAGGCGTTCCTGCGCCAGCAGCCGCACCTCGAGGGCCTCGCGCTCCATCGCCT